TGTGTGTGTTTGGGGGGCTTTTGCAGTCATTTCCTGTGTTGCCTGTTTTGCCCCTGTCTTTGGCCTGGTGGGGGGGGGGGTCGCACTGCTGTTGGGGGGCTGGAGGTCATCACACATGAACCCGATGCACGGATGGGTCAAATGGATCATCTCATCGGGTCAAGCGATCATCGCATCGGGTTAAGGGGCATTGGACCGGGCCAAAGAGTCATCTGACAGGGTCAAGAGGCCATCAGGTATGGATGCATTGGTGATGGTTCCTAGAGATGGATGCTGCTTTAGTGAGATGCCTCGCAGGCAGCGGAGGACTTCAGGGACTGCGGGAGCGTGTCGAAGCAGAAGAATAGCCAAGCAATCTTATCCGAGATCGTTCCCGTCCCACAAGCAAAGGGAAACAGAAGGCTGGAGAGTGTGGAAGTGAACCACTGGCGAGGTGAGCAGGGACTGGTTGAACATTGGGCCACTTTCTGTGTGAAGAGGGGGATGTACGGGTTGCATGGTCTCCACCTCAGGAAAAGGGGCACCAATCTCCTTATGAACAAGCTGGCTAGAGTAGCTGGTGTGTGTGTTAACCTGTGGTTCTCAAACTAGGGCCGCTGCTTGTTCAGGGAAAGCCCCTGGTGGGCCAGGCCGGTTTGTTTACCTCCCGCGTCCACAGGTTTGGCCAATGGGGGCTGCAGGAAAGGGCGGCCAGCACATCCCTAGGCCTTAGCATAAGGAGCAGGTAGAAAGAGGGAAGAAACTAACACGCCGCACAAAATTGAGATGCTGAGAAGCAAATTAATGAAGGAACCGAAGGGCACGAAGAGAAGAAATTCTTGAATTGCCTGTGCACCAATGCTGGCAGCCTGGGGGAACAAAGAGGAGGAAGTGAAATTGCTCATTTGTGAGCATAAATGCAATCTAGTTGGTATCACTGAAACCTGGCGGGATGATTTGCACGACTGGATTGTTAAAATGAATGGTGATACACCTATTTAGGAAGGAGCAAGAGGGCTTTTTAAGTTCTTGGCTTTGCTTATTAAATGGACGCCACGCTTCAGCTGCTAGGTTCTGTTGAAATGCAGAGAAGGCAAAAGTACAGTCTGTTCTGGTTTGGGAGAAAAAACAGATGATATCGTCTCATCGTATGGTGATGAGAACACTCTTGCCATTCCATCTCTGGAGGATGTTAAACAGAAGCTACTAAAGTTAGACATTTTAAAAGCACCAGGTCCAGATAACTTGCATCCACGAGTTTTAAAAGAACTGGCCGAGGAGCTCTCTAACCCGTTAATGTTTTTCAATAAGTTGTGGCGCACGGGGGAAGTTCCAGAAGACTGAAATAAAGCTAATGTTGGGCCAATATGTAAAAAGTGTAAAAGAGATGACCTGAGTAATTATAGACCTGTCATCCTGATGTCGATCCAGTAGCTGATATAGGTCAATTAATAAAGAATTAAAGGAGAGTAATGTAATTAATGCCAATCAACAAGGGCTTATGGAAAATAGATCCTGTCAAACTAACTTGATATCGTTATTACAAGTTTGGTTCATGAAGGTAGTAGCATTGACGCAATATACTTAGACTTCTTAGAAGGTGTTTGACTTGGTACCGCGTAACATTTTGATGACAGAACTAGAACGATTAGGGTGACCAGATGTCCCGATTTTATAGGGACAGTCCTGATTTTTGGGTCTTTTTCTTATATAGGCTCCTATTACTCCCCCACCCCCGTCCCAATTTTTCACACTTGCTGTCTGGTCACCCTAAGAACGATAGAATATGAACATTGCCCACATTCAATGGATTAAAAACTGGCTAACTGATAGGTCTTAGAACAGGGGTCGGCAACCTTTCAGCAGTGGTGTGCCGAATCTTCATTTATACACTCTAATTTAAGGCTTTGTGTGCCGGTAATACATTTTAACGCTATAGAAGGTCTCTCTATAAGTCTATAATATATAACCAAACTACTGTTATATGTAAAGGGTGGCCTGCTGGGACTCCAGGCCCGAAAGCAGGATGAGCAAGGGCTGGAAACCAAGATTGGCGGCTGAGGTGAGTGGAGTAGGTGGCTGGTAGGCCTGAGCAGGGCTGGAGGCCTGGACCCTGTCTGCAAGAAAGCCTCCAACCGGAAGCAAGGTGAGTGGAGCTGTGCGGTAGAGACCCCTGCTGGCGAGGGGCCAGCAGCCAGAACCCCAGAGCAGCGACTGGCTTGGCCTGCTACCACTCTGGGGTTTCTGCCCCCAGCTCCTGCTCGCTGCCAGCCTGGGGTTCCTTAACCCAGGCCGGCAGCGGGTGCTGAGTGGGACCTGCGGGGACCCCGGCTGGCAGGAGCCGGCAGCGGGAACTCCAGAGCGGGGTGGGCTGAGCGGCTCAGCCCACACCGCGTGCCAGGAAAAATCGGTTTGCGTGCCAGCTTTGGCACGCGTGCCGTAGGTTGCCGACCCCTGTCTTAGAATGTAAACGTAGATGCGGAATCGTCATCAAGTAGCTGTGCTTTCAGTGGGATCCCACAGAGAGCGGTTCTTGGACATAAGCTATTTAATGTTTTTATCAATGACTTGGGAAGAAAATATAAAGTCGGCATTGATCAAGTTTGCACATGACACAAAGATTGTGGAGTGGTAAATAACGAGCACACGTCACTGCTACAAAGCGATCTCGAGTGCTTGATAAGCTGGGCACAAGCAATTTCATTTGAATACAGCTAAATGTAAATGTATCCGCCTAGGAACACAGAATGTTGACATGCAGAATGGGGACTCTATCTTGGGAAGGAGTGGCTCCGAGACAGATTTGGGGGTCGTGGTGGCCAATCAGCTGAACATGAGCTCCCAGTGTGACACTGTAGCCGAAAGAGCTAATGCGATGCATCAATGGGGAATCTTGAGTAGGAGCAGAGAGGTTCTTTTTCCTCTGTGTTTGGCGCTGCTGGAATCCTGTGTCCAGTTTTGGTGCCATTCAGGAAGGATGTTGATAAACTGGAGAGGGTTCAGAGAAGAGCCACGAGAATGATTAAAGGATTAGAAAACTTGCCTAAAAGTGACAGACTTAAGGAGCTCAATCTATTTAACTTAACAAAGAGAAGGTCCCGGGGTGACTTGATCCCAGTCTGTAAGTACCTACACGGCGACTAAACGTGGAACAATGGGTTCTTCAATCTAGCAGAGAAAGGTCTCCCACGATCCAACGTCTGGAAAGTAAAGCTCGACCCATTCCGACTGGAAACCAGCCGTATGTTTTTAGCGGTAATTAACCCTTGGCACAAACTGGCACGGTGGAGTCTCCATCCCTGGGACTGTTGAACATCCAGGCGGGGTGTTTTCCGATCGCTCTGGGATGGTGTTGAGGGGGGTCTCAGGCACCGGTGCCAGGCGGGGTCAGACGAGAAGATCACAAGGGGCCCATCTGGCCGTGCAGCCTGGGCGTCCAGGCCAGGGCGAGGAGCCGGGTACGGGGCCAGGGCGCCCGCCACGACACGGCCA